GCAGCAGGCTTGCTGATGCGATCTTGCGTTTTTGCATGGTTCCATCCCTGTAGAGTGAATGCTTGTACTACTGCGAGCATTTGGTGAGTCTGTGCCCAGGGCCCATGCCTAGGCAATAGCTTATCTTGCGCTTTGTGACCCGCACATCTGCAAAAAATATTTTCAAAGTACTGCTTCCTGTCCAGTACGGTTACTGAGTTAAGTAGATGCCAACAATTTCCCAAAATAAATTTTCAGTTGAGTGTATGCGAAACTTAGGCATGCTTTAAAGCTGAATTTGAAACGTTTGGACCGCACATTGGCCAGAATGTAAAATAAAGTTTCAGTTCCGTAGCATAATTGGGTAGCTGAATTGTTTTTCGTTACTTCTTTAAAATATTCGAATGCCCAACACAGTCGAAAGCCAAAGCTCATTTCATGCCTATGTATGAAAAATATATATTCTTGTAATATTCTTCTTCCCGGTAATTCAGTTAGTTCACAAAAGTTTGAATTTTACTGCAAATATAATCATGCAAATTTCAGCTTTTTGTGAGGACTCCAGTTGCCACCCGGATTATCCGCGCACGAGGATGCTCTTGATTGCGAGTGCGCTTGCGTGCATTCGACCATGCTGCAATGCATTTATGTACTTTTAATCTTTATTGCAGGTGTCCACCGGCTTAAAATGTTCCGCGTAGGCGAGAAGCAGTGTGATGGATTATCAGTGTAAAGCCTGGTCACTTTAGTGGCATCCGAAAAGGTAACGCGAATATCCGGTGAAGTTAGCATGAGACAAGTAGTCCTGGCCAAAAGAATCCTGTACAGTTGTACTCGGTGTGTAGCTGCAACCTGTCATTATCATACAGCTCTTTGAGAAGTAAACTGTAACGACGTAAATTTGTTTGCAAAGAAGTAAATTTCGCACTGTATGTTATTTACGTTCGTCCATTAGCAATGAATTGCATTTTAAAAAAATGGCACAAACAGAAAATGCAGTTTTATTGCAGAAATTGCCAGTTTTCGAACAATCAATTAATAAAACTGAAATTTAATTATTTTTCCATTACCAGCCTGTCTCAGTGCTGATGTGGTGAGATGAAGAGAGCTGCAGACTGTTTTCTTCTGCTCCTCATCTTTCATTCCGTGACAGTGCTTGGCCAAGCTCTGGAAGCTAGAACAACTGATGAAGATGATTATTACACGGTAAGTCAAAATGGTTGTTCGTACTGATTGCTTCCCCTTTAGCCAGCGCGGTCATTGATAGAGGCAAGGCAACATAGCTAACGAAAACGCTTGATCGCGCCAGCTTCCAAACTAACCACCACTGCTTTGATGTGTTTGTGCATAGATTAAAAAGACATCATGGTGCAAATGTATTTTTTTTGTATTTGAATTTGAAGGCACTATTTTTTTTCTTTAGTTTGAGGATTATGGCGATGAAAAGCTTCTTTGGGGTAAGGAATCTAGTCCACAGTGGTGTGAAGCGCCAAAAATCAATCAGACGCTGGGTGATCGGTTTACTGTCCGAAGTTCGTTCATCGATGCAAATTCGAAAAGACAGGTTTCATTTTGATTCAGAGCATCGAGACAACTGGTGATGAATCCAAAACTTACTTTTTAAAAGAAGGATGACGGATGAAAAGAGCCTAAGGATGAGGATGAAAAGAGGAAAAGCCTAAGGATGAAAAGAGCCTAAGGATGAGATTGGGCACATGTAAAGACATGGAAGAAAAATTTAAAATTTTCCTGCGAAGTCATAAAGAAGGCGGAATGTTATTTCTCTAAAACTCGAGTAACTTTGCGGTTTTCATACGTTTCTGCATACATGCAAATTGCAAAAACGCATATTGAGAAGAGGCTGTCTGTGTGTTCGCACTTTTTATCACTCATTTTCAACTCGAGAACCAGAAAAGCTAGAAGGCTGAAACTTTGGGATCATGTGCCCATGCCGTGCGCGACCCTCCCGTTTCAGTATTATCCCTCGCGGACGCCTGAATGCCACCTACGGACGCTTTAAAAAGATATGCAAGTAAGGCGATCTCGGGAACCAGACAAGGTAAGAGACTATAAATTTGTAGAGATGTTCCCTGTGCATGTGTTAACTAAAGATTTCTAATTCAGCCCCTAGGTATGCGCGGTACTCACGAAAGAGCGTATGAAAGTTTCTGTGGGAAAATTACTAACTCGGGAACCTGAAAAGCTGGAAAGCTGAAATTTTAGGGTAATGTCCCTGTCCAAGTACAACTTAGATATTTCGGATCTAGCCCTGTGTAGTTCTTACGTGCGAACACGTGAAAGATTTGGCGGAGAAATTTCTCGCTGAACAGGTACGTTGCTTTTAAAGAACGACCGTTAAATGTAAACTGTACATCTAGTTTATGCAAAATTTATAGTGATTTATGCTAGTGATCGCCAAAAGGTAAGTGTAAAGCAAGAACTATTCATCCAATTCATGACTTGAGTACTTCAAGTCCGGTGCAAAAACATGTGATCGCACGGTCCCGTCCAGTGCGTCCCAGCCTGGGTTATGTTTTTTCTTGATGTTGTAAGCGTATGTGGTTTTGGTTACAACCTTTCCTTAATCGAGTCTCAGGTTTCGAACGTAGGCTTCCCCTTCAGAAACCTCTGTTTCACTAGAAAGTACCTTCTTTCGTGTACAGATCTGCTGGTATCAAATTTGCCAAAACCAGCCATCAAGAACTCTGAAAGGCAAATTTAAGAGTGTTTAGCTTTAGTGTATTCAAATTTGCTAGTTTTACTTTACTGCCACTAAAAGTTAAAAGAATTTTGAGGAATCATTGGCGACTTGTTCCGAGACCACGGATGAGCGATTTTTGCCCGTTTTCCGGTCATTTTGGACAGAGCAGTGAAATCATAAGGTTTATAACATCCGCCTTCTTTTGCATGTTGTGTGGAGCTGGTGCAAACATGAGTTTTACGCACCGTTTAATTGTGCGGCATAAATTTCTCCAGTGACACGCTTTTTTTAGTATGCAACAGAAACAGTGGTTGAAGTGAAGTGTGGTCCTGAAAGACGATTGAAATTTGCACACAGCGTCATTTATCCTTTGGTTTGTTCACTATTTCCAGATGCAATTAATATCAAAATCATGATGGTTGCTCTGCCTGAGGTCTTTGATTTCACTAAGATGCAGCCACACGACGAGCACAGCTACTGAAGTCGCTGCATTTACTTGTAACTGCCATCTCTACCAAATCCACCGCATACCACGAGCCATTTTTTCAGAAGCGATCCGAATGACCGCCGTATTTTGCTACTGCACGCATTCATAACTATGAATGAATAAAATTCGTTTTGTGTGAGATATTGCTTACATTACTTTTAGTAGTCCTTCTGTGCATAATCAGTAATATTCACGCAGGCGCACCCAGCTACATTCATAACTTCTCATAAGGTCATGCACGCATAGGAGATGGAAATGCTGGTTACAGGTCAAAAGCAAAAGCTTTGAAAAAGAGAGGCTGGCAGAACGGCGCCCGGCATACAGCTAAATTTTGGTAGAATGGATAGCCCCGGCTGTGCTGGTAATTTTATAAGCTGCATAATTAGTGAGCACAGCAGATCAGCCAGTGAAGCGCTCAGCTTTTGGTACAGGCTACTGCAAGCTCATAGTGGGTGATAACAAAATCTTCTTTGCCTCACACAATTGTTGTTTGCCCTGTTCGTCTTATAGCACGCAGCCCATTAGCAAGCAATATTATACTATAAGCTGTGAAGTTGAAAAGCTCGAAATTCGACTTTACGTTGCTAGACCATGACGGTCGAGAGCTCCTGGATCTCATCGTTGTCGCCTTCACAGTTGTTATGCTGACTGGGTGATCAGTACAGTAAGATAGCAAGTTTTTTTCTACATAATTTGTCTTGCCTTAATGCATTTTTGCGTTATGATGCAACAAAACCCATGAAAACGCAATATCTGAGCAAGTTAAACTCTTACTGTTTAACAGAGTGACGTTTACTTGCGCTGCACGTTGAACAGTTCCGGTATCGGCAGCGTTTGGTTGATGGTGGGTGCTGGTGGAAGCCTCATGGAATTATGGAATCATGAAAGCAGCAGCAGTCCAAATCCATCTTGTGTTTATGGAGAGCCTTCGTTCTACGTGTGCGAGCTGCCTCACTTGATTCATCATGGACTACGGCTAACTGGCGCTACAAGAAGCCAGTTTTTCAAAAACAATGAAACACTGACTATCAGGTGGGTGCCCAGCACAGTACAGTAGTTGTTTTTTATGGTTTTTGTATTTACATAAAGAAGCGACAAGACCGCATCTTTATACGAGTATTGATATAATTACAGTTAATTCAGTCCAGAATTACAAAAGCTGCGCAGCTGAGGTTTTGCGACCGTGGTACCGGGTTGTGTACGGATCCAAAAATACAAACGCGACATTCATCTACCCTTGAGTTCTAAAATATCGGCAAGCACAACATTCGCTATTGTCTTGGACAGTATGAACAAACAGCTGCCAGACCTCTTTCAGCTGCACAACAGTTGCTGAAGAGTAATGCAGCTTAGAGGAAGACATGAAACGATCTAGGTAGTGACGCACCAAGCTTGCTGGTGCGATCATATGTTTTTGTACTAAAATCGAAGTGACTAGATCTTCAACAGTATAAGTGGTGGTTGTTGCTTTACAGCTTAACATGTGCACTCACCTTGAGAGTGTTATCGTTTTTGGCGCATACAAGAGAAGAGCATCAGCTGGGATGGCAGTATTACATCATTAGGTCGCGTGTAATCTCAACCTCCAACATGCACGATTACTATAAGTTTTGCATGAAAGGTAATGAAATATTGGCTGTTACTGGTCGATCGTTGAAAATGCTAATTGGTCTGGGAGCAAGGTGTGGAAAGGATGACGAAAACGCATAAAACTTTCGCATACTCGTAACTGAAAATCAAGCATGCTTAGGAGCTGAATTTGAAGCCTTAGATCGCACGTAGACATCCGCTTGAAATTTCAGCCTCATAGCTTCTCTGATTCCCGAAATAACAATTTTCTCGCCAAATATTTCACATTCCGCACGTGAGAACTAAGCTCATTTGATGGTTGAATTTGAAATCTTTGCACTGCACATGGGCAGAGAACACCCTCACAAAATTTCTGCTTTTCTGGTCCCCAGGCTAACAAAACTTCACATGTCCGTTTGTGAGGCTAGCGTGCATGAAAGTTCGTACTACCTCCCAGGGTAACACTGCAAAGGAGTCCACTGATAAAAATTCAACGCCGAAGCTTGCGTTATTATAAAATTGAAATACCCGGACAGACGCACTCACACATATACAAACGCACAGACAACGTACACATACCACATGGGTCGCCACAATATGTGTTGCCACATTTGCATATATGCAACCCAGGCTGGAACACGCCAGGCTTGCAGATCGCTAATAGCAGAAATGATCCCTGCGCTGTAGCCTAACACTTGGGGTTATAGTGGCCGTGTTTTGGCCCCTTCCGGCATGCAGGAGGAAGGGCCTCAGTTGGCATGAAGGTAGTGCATTTTTGCGCTCAGTAGCGTAAATTACCATAAATTTTGCATGAAGTAAGTGAAGAAATTTCATTTAAGGGTCTTCCTTTGAAAATAACCTAGCTGTTCAGTGAGCAATTTTTCCACCAAAATTTTTAAGTGCCCATACGTGAGAACCAGGCATACCTGAAGGCTCTATTTGAAATATTTAAAATCGTATTTGGACAGACAGCATCTCCCTAAAATTTCAGCTTTTTAGCTTTCCTGGTTCCCGAGTTGGTAATTTTCCTGCCAAAACTTTCGCCCTCTATACGCGAGGCCCAGACTTGCGCAAGGGTTAGTATCGTGGCCCTAGGGTGGCACGTGGCCGGGGATCCCACTAGCAAAGTTTTGGCGCCGGAGCCTGCTTGGTTGCCGAGTTGGGCAGATAAACGCACACACACATACATACACACGTACACAGACATGGTCGTTGCAATATGCGTTTTCGCAATTTGCCTATAAGCAACCCAGGCTGAAACGCACCAGGTGAGCCGGTGCGATCATGCGTTTTTGCATCAAACTTTGAGGTACTCCATCAAATT